AACGTACATCATCAGACGTTATCTAACTTACAAAAATTCAATTATCTTCTGAATGCGTTACGAGGAGAGGCTCTAGAATCTATCAAGCGCTATTCCATAGCTGAATAATTATAAACTCGCGGTAGAATTGCTAAAGAAAAAATACGGTAATGATTCACAGCTCATATCAAGCCTACATTCTAGACTCGAAAGTACTAAGGCACAAAACCAATCAATCTCGGCGCAACGACATCTTCTTGAGCAAATTATTCCTATAGTAACACAGCTGCAAGCAAAAAGCGTAAACTTGGATGGTTCGTTTATGGCGCACAAAATTCTCGCTAAATTTGCAATACGAATCCAGCGCAAAGTACTAGAAAAAAGAGTTTATGAAAGAGCGAAGGAGGGTGACTGGAAAATGAAAGAAATAATCGAAGAACTTGAGGAAACTATTTCTGTGGAAAAACACATCGACGAAATGTTACAGGTTAACGAAACACACACACGAAACACGCGCCAAAATTTCAATCGCGCAAGCAAAACGCCGCTCCCATGTATGTTTTGCGCATCAACCGAGCACGCAGCTTTGAACTGCACAAAGTACGCAACATTATCGGAGCGGCGATCGGTTTTTCAACAAAACAACAGATGTCTCAACTGCGGCAGAGAAGGGCACTATGCCAACGTCTGTATGAAAGAGGGATGCAGGTCATGCGAGGGTAAAAAGCATTACTATACCCTATGTCCGCAGAGACAGAAAAGAAACGGTAATCCCTTGCTTCCAAATCCTACAAATTTCAATAGTAATCACAGAAACCAAACAAAAGAAAAAGGCAAAAAGCCAGAGAACAAAGTACGGGCACAAGTGGTGCAAACGAATACTGAAAGTAACCAGGCTGACCTCTCGAGGGAGGAAAGCAGCGAAACACTGGTTTTTCACTGTGAAGAGCACAGAAAACAGATTTTAAACGCTCAGTTTTTATTGTTGACAGGAAAAGCCCGAGTAAAAGGCGCCGAATTGGGGAAATGGAAGCAGGTGGAAGTCCTTCTGGACACGGGAGCGAATCAGTCTTTCATAAATGAAAGGCTTGCAAAGGAATTGGGACTGCAGTGCAAAGAAACAAAAACATTTACAATGTATCCGTTTGGCGCTGAAACACCAACAACCACGACATGTGGAGTAACATCACTAGACCTGTGGGACCAAAAGGGGGAGAGACACAATATTCGACTATACGTACAGTCTGCCCCAATCCCAACCAGGCCAAAATTGGCATGGCGGGAACCCGTGCCGCGAAGGTATTGCGTCACATCTACGGCTAACCAGTCTGCTCCCTCCTCAATCGCTTCGCTCTCTACGACAGCGCGCGTATGCAGGCAGACCCTAAGCGTTGCGAGCGCGCAAATTCAGCCTGCGGTTTGGCCTGATCTCGATTGGGGCAGACTGTAACACCAGCGCTAATGAGTCTAGGGAAAGCAGGGGTCCTTTCTCCAAAGGATGCCGAGTTTATCGCGAAACACAAGATAACTTTGTCAAAAGAATATTTCAGAGAAGATTCTGTACCTCAGATTCTACTCGGCTGTGACCAACTGTGGGAACTTTTAGATAGTACCAATCACCAATACACCCTACCTTTGGGGTTGAAACTCATTCCTTCTAGGCGGCTACTTGCTCACAGGGAAGCAAGATAAAATATTAGGTTGGCTCGAAAGTTCTGGGACATTTTCGGACTAAATTTGCTTCTTCTCGAAAACCAATGCATGTACGTCCTCGAAAATTTGCGGTTGTACTCTCACTCGCCTGTAGCTGACATCTAAGCAATTGGGAGGAGCCTAGGACCAAAGGGGGCGGGATTTGCCACTTTTTTATCACCTCGATTTTCTTGTTGTTCACGCTCAAATTCCGCACAAACTGTGATTGTAAGTATATAAGTATGTTTGTACTATAAATTGGAGCATGCGGAGATTTCAAAACGTTTATAGAAGCTGGAGATCTGGGTTAGGTCAAAATCCTATGTTTTGGAAATGCAATGTCCCAGAACTTTCGAGCCACTAATATATAAAGAGACGCAAAGTGCGCATAAAGCATTTCCTACTGTAAACGCGGTAAATGTCTTTATGAATTGGGAGGAGGAACACAAGGTGGGACAAGTATTGGGCAATTGATTCAGCTGGGATCTGCGAATACACAGGAACAAAATGCGTAGAAAAAGAAGCGGTCAATAAGAGGGTTGCAAGTTTTTTCGAGCAAACCATTGAGAGACGTAGTGATGGCTACTACGTGCGCCTACCATATAAAGATAATCACCCGCCGCTTCCCTCCAACAAGGCCATAGCATTGAGGAGACTGGAAAGCTCTCTGGACATGCTGCAATCAAGACCAAAACTGTTAGAGAACTACGATCAAACGTTCAGGGAGCAAGCGGAAAAGGTATCGAAGAAATCCCAAATGACCAACCACCTGAGGGAAAAATTTTACACTACAATCCGCACCAAGCTGTCATTATTCCTCGAAAAGAGATAACAAAAATGCTCATCGTCTTTGATGCATCATCTCACTATAGACAATGCTCCTCGTTGAATGATATTCTTCATCAGGGCCCTTTGATTTTACCCGAGATATATGAGATGCTGCTGAGATTCCGCGCGAAAGAATACGCTCTCACCGCTGACGTAAAAAAGGTTTTTCTACAAGTGCGCCTTAATGAATGCGACAGAGATGCAACGCGATTTACTGGGTTCGGGATCCTACCGCCCCGGTGGATGACGACAACATAATCACTTACCGCTTTACGCGCGTACCTTTTGGTTTGAATGTCTCACCGTTTCTATTGGCAGCAACGGTGAATTATCATTTAAAGAACATGAGCGCGCACAAATTGCTAGCAGAGGAAATAGAGGAAAACATGTATGTTGACAATGTGATACTGGGAGCAGATCCAACCGAAGAAATGGAAAAGAAAGCGGAAGAAGCGCGAGATATATTGAAATTGGCATGAACCTGCTCGAATTCCTCTCAAATACGCATGCAGTGCGCGACAGAATACCCATTGAAGCTTGCGCAAGATCATCAGAACAAAAAGTTCTAGGGGTAACCTGGAAAGCAGAAAATGACGAATTGGTCGTACAGTGTGTTATGTCTTCTACATCGCCAATCACAAAACGGGCGGTAGCAAGGCAGATCGCGTCTGTTTATGACCCGGTTGGCTAACCCCCCTAATAACGCGCGCAAAACATTTCCAACAAGAACTTTGGAAACAACGATATAGTTGGGATGAATTACTATCGGAAGAACTTTTCCAAGAATGGAATACGATCGTTAACGACGCGGACGGGTTCCAGCGTCATTTCCCCAGAAGGATACTGCCAGAACTGAAACATACCAAGCTTGCCATTTTCGCTGATGCGAGCGAGATCGCTATGGCAGCCTGCGCGTATTTATTCAAGACAGGGAATGCAACACTAATCATGACCAAGTGTAAACATCCCTCAATAAGATCAACAGCGACAATACCTAAAATGGAAATGAATGGGCTAACCATAGCTGCACGACTCGCGCTTTCTATCTACAAAGCGCTGCAGAAAAGTGCAAAAATCAATCAAATTTCGCAAACGAAACTCAGTGTTTCAAAATAACGACAACACCTGAAGCCAAAATCCAAAACCAGCAAAATGATCTACTAGACTTGAACAGATTTAGCTCACTGGAAAAAGCGAAACGAATTGCTGCGCATGTTCTAGTGTTTATTTACAAATTAATGCGCACACTTTCATTTTCGCAAAAGAAAAAAATCATGGAAAACATCTCAGAGCTAAACTCAGTCCTCCTGGACTTGCCTTTGAATGGTACCACGATCAAAGCAGCGCGATTAGCCTTGATCAGAAATCATCAGAAACAAATCTTGTCTGAATCTTTGCGCAAGTTCCTGGAAAACTCACTGAGACTCTTTAAAGATGACCAAAAAATCTGGCGATCTAAGGGAGGGTTAGACAACTTCCCCATAAACGAAAGCGCAAAAAATCCAATCTATATAGGGCCGAATACGCCATTAGCAAAGCTTATAATCCACGAAGCGCATGGCAATTACCATAGAGGAATCGACCACACAATAGCTACAGTGCGCACGCGTTACTGGATCCCCAAGCTACGGCAACAAGTAAGGAAAGAAGTTTCTCGGTGAGCGAATTGTAAAAGATTCAACGGTCGGCCATACGCATATCCTTACACGACTGACCTCCCAGAAAGAAGAGTGCAAATAAGTCGTCCATCAACACGTAGGATTAGACTTTTTCGACCTACCAATTTCCGAAGAAAATAACGAGCAGAGAAAAACCTACGGTTCATTTTTACATGCACGGTAACGCGCCTAGTACATCTGGAATTAGTGCAAAGCATGGCTATAGTAGACTTCTTAAATGCGCTGAGAAGATTCATCGCAAGAAGGGGAATACCAACATCCTCACTTGTGATAACGCGCCCACTTTCCTTTTATGCGAAGTAATCCTTAGCGCCGAAAAAGGGATATCAGACTTGAATGAAGAACTAGCGCGAACTTTCGCAAACCAGGAAATTCACTGGTACCATATCACGCCGTATGCCCCCTGGCAAGGGGGGTTCTATGAGCGCTTAATAAAGTTAGTCTAACAGGCCTTGTCCAAAGCACTGCGCTGCATGCCAATGCCAACCGTACATCAACTCCCCGCGCCCCCTCGTCACCGCATTCAACATTGCGCTTTCATTTCAGCAGCGCTAGACAAAATATGAACTGCACCATAAAATGCGGCACAAAATCGCAAACATTTACGACTTCAGGCATTCTGAAATACGTAGGACCGCTACATCACGTTGCGCTAAGTAAACTGAAAGGAAATAGCGCAGTCTATAATGAAATAGCATGGCCTGATTTCGCTCATATCGCAGAACTTTTATTTAGTTGGTACAAAACCGCCCTTATAGCGCTCATAGCAGTCGCGGGCGCTCTTCTGGCACGTATCTTTGTCTGCAGGCATTGGGGTGGCGAATGCTCGGTTCCGTGCTGAAAATGGTTTTTGCGCTCACATTGCTTCCAGTACGATTAGGATGCTACGCTCTGCGCACGATTGGTAAACAAAAGGCCAAAACGGGAAGAAAAACGGAACATCACATCAAAAATTTCTAACAGATAAAAGCGCCACAATTATATCTAGCAACTGTACATATCATTGAACTTTAAGAAAACAAAGGCAAAAAAATTTAAAAAAATAATAAAACCAAAAAAACGTTAAAAAATATATTTTTCAGACCAAATGAAGAAACTCGAACAAATACAAAGTGAAGTTCGCACGATACATTGCGCTCTCCAGCACCAACAAGAAACCATGGACTACCTTTCAAAGATCCTCGAAGCAGTGCGCGAAGAAATTGAAGAAGAAGAAAGAGTTGCGCAGAACGAGGCGCGCAAGCTACGAAAAGCAATAAACAGCTTGACAACCGCGATCGAAGCAGCGCTAAAGAATCTAAGCTTGGATGTACAGTCAAAAGTCGAACACCTCAGCGAAGAGGGGAAGGCGCAGCCGCTGCAGCTGTCAAGGAGGAAACTCAGCCAGAAGACATCGGAGTCGAATCGATGGAAAAAGGAGATGATGACGCGCACATGGGTCAGCGCGAAGCCGAAACCATTCGGAACAACCAGGAATATGTCGACGAACTTGTGATAGAGATGGAGGAGGCAGCGCCGTTTGAAGAACCGCAAGTAGAGGAAGTCCAAATGGAAGAACCGAAAATGGGAGAAAATGAAGCGCACGCCGACGAACCTCCAAGGAATGAGGAAGCGATGGAAAGACCTCAAGAAGCCCGCTTGCGCAATGAGGATTTGTTGTCAGCGCTACAAGTGGAGAAGAAGCAAACCCTACAGGCGATACACGACTTGAACCTGTTGATCGACGCCCTGGAAAAGGAAAAAACTTGCGGGCCGCGTAAATACCACAAAGGCGAGATTCGTAAGGACACGGAAAAGAACATGTCATGCGCATTCTGTAGCGCTGTCGGATATCATTATTCCGACTCTTGCCCGGGAAGGGAAAGACGAGAAGTTCTCGAAGCGAGCAACAGATGCGAAACCTGTCTCGAATACTGCGCTGGGGGAAGTCTTTGTCGAAAATTTTACACCAAGTGTTTCCATTGTCGCGAGACAGGGCATCATTCCGCCCTATGCGAACTACCCGACAGAAATCAGGAGATTTTCGATCAAATTGAAGAAGCAGAGCTATCGAAGCAAGAAAACTTCCAGCGCCTTAAGCAAATCGACATGGAAATTCAGGAACTCCGCCAGGACCCATCTCACTAGCCCCGGGGGAGTATCGCCGCGATCGGATACGGTGTCGTCATCGCCGTAATCGGATACGGTATTATCGCTATGTTTTGAGGCTTTAAACTTTTTATTGTAAAGTTTTTGTTAGGTTTACAGCTTGTGTGGCAGTCCTTGAGCTGCAAGCGGCAGCGGCCACTCGTGTTCAATCAGTCGTTTTTCTCCCCTTTTGTCAACATTGTTTTCAATTTATGCCTCTCATCTGCTGTCCATTTCGAATGCGCGCCAAAAGGAACTCTGAAGACAATTTCTGCTCAATGCACTTTTCAACAGTTTTATTGTGGTCAATTGCGCTGAAAAAGGCCTACGCACTTCCTTACAAACTCACTTCCTATTTTTGGTTGCTTAACAATAAAGTGCGCTTGTATCATTCATTTGCGTCATATTTTGGTATTTTCTGCGCTTAATTGCCATATCAAAGTGCTTTATCTTTGTCATACACTTATTCGTGTTTGTTGCATTCAAGTATTTTGTATGAGGGTTTAATCACCTAAGTTTGAGGTAAACGTTGCGCAAAGTGGTGTTGTGTGTGTTCTTCCTGGTTGTCAGTGTAACAATACCGCGTGGCATTGCGAGCACAAACCGATTCAAGAATGTCAAAAGTATGTTTCAGTGAAATTTTTTGAACTTTAGAATTTCTTAGGCCTAATCGCTAAAAAAAATTTTGATTCGAGTAAAGTCCCAAGTTTTTTTCTGCCAGGTGGACCAAATTTGCTTCGCTCTTTTCTCTTTTGAAGGTAGGATGTTCTAGGAGTAGGAAATATCAAAAGTGTTTTTCGGCAAAGTATCTTAAAATTTAGAACTCTTAGAAATAGTCCTCTGTTGCATAGATTCTCTGAACGTTTCAGCGAGACCAAGTTCGCCCTGCTGTTTCACCTTTTGGAGTCAAAAGTAGGATGTTCTTAGGATAATAAATCTCTAAAGTATTTTTCAGTGAATCGAAATTTATCTGCGAAGTTTTTAAAAAAAGTGTCCTGCCGCCTAAATTCCCTAGTCTTTCTGCCGGCAAAAAACAAGTTCGCCCTGCTCTTTTCCCTTTGGAGGCACAAGTAGGTGTTTTCAGAGTAAAGAATGTCAAAATATCTTTCCCTGAAGTTTTTTTTTGAAACTCACTGTGAAGTGTAGGAGTTCTTAGAAAAAGTGTCCTGTCGCATACGGTCACTGATCTACTCTGCCCGCAGTTTGCTTGCTTTTTTCTCTTTTGAAGGCAGAAGTAGGGTGTTCTTAAAAAGAATTCTCAAAATTATTTTTTGGCAAATTCTCTAGCTTAAGAATTGCTTTAAGAAAAAGTGTCCCGTTACGTAAACTCTCTGGTCTTTTCTGCCAGTGAAACCAAATTTGACCTGCATAAATTGAGGAACGCATATGTAAGATAACAAATATATACACTGGATTCACTGATAGTTAGTAACAAGTCCGCGCAGCAAACCTAAAAATAATCTTAAAAAGTAGAAATTCACAAACAGAAAAAAACGCATGAGATACAAATCCTACTATGCAACCTTCCCTGCTCTAGTTGTAGAGTCTCCATTTCATAATCAACATCTAGTTCCAAAATTTAGAAGTCTCATTATATACTTCTATACAGCACAACTAATTTGAGGAGCCCTCATTTTCTGTCGAATCAGCGCATTTGGGGTGTTGTGCGAGAGGAACGTAGCAATTGCCAGCCGCTACTGCCACTCATGGCATTGCGCTATTTTTCTTATGGAGCGTGAGTTTCAGACTCATTGAAAATAAGGAAGATTGAATGCTATAAAATAAAATGCTATCAAATTGAATAAGTTTTGCTTGGAGCCCGATAATATGTGCAATTTGATAATGCTTTCGCAAAAAAAACGTGAACTCGAAGTTTACCTTTGGAACACTTCTTCACTGATAATGTAATTCTGCAACTCATTTTCAACCTTTCTTATGGAGCGTGAGTTTCAGACTCATTGAAAATAAGGAAGATTGAATGCTATAAAATAAAATGCTATCAAATTAAATAAGTTTTGCTTGGAGTCCGATAATATGTGCAATTTGATAATGCTTTCGCAAAAAAAAACCTGAACTCGAAGTTTACCTTTGGAACACTTCTTCACTGATAACGTAATTCTGCAACTCATTTTTAACCTAATGAAGTCAATACAAATCTTCAGTCTGATCAGAAGCTCAAACCAAGGAAATGGTCTATATTTTTGCGTATGGACGGTTAGGGCGAGGGCAAGAGATGCGCTGGTTATTAACACGTTTCGGACCGGTGCTGCATATGGGTGCAGCACGCTGCTTTAAAGGTCTTTTTGACGTTTATAGGAGTTTTTCTTTCAGTTCAAGGTTATGGAGTCAAAGGCCCAAGCCTCTACTTTCCAAATGATACTGCAGAGCTGTGCTGTCGATATTTGCTTAGGAGATATGAGGACAAATTGAACAGCAGTTGCTAAGAAGTGCGGCAACGCGAACGACGCGTGCGACGTCGCAACTTTTCTTTGCTTCGATGAAATAGAAAAACCGTAGTTTCAATACTGATGTGTACCGTCTACAACATATATACTTTGGATAATATTAGAAACTAAGTTCTTGTTCCTATTTTTCGCGGTCCGATTTCGCGGTCCCAAACGTGTTAAAGGCAGCGTCCGGGCAGATACGAAAATGTAGAGCCCTAGTAAGGCTCTTGCCCAATTGGCAATGCACCAATTTGCGGAAGGATAAGCCCAGGTAAGCGAAAAAAATTCCATTTGAAATCTTGCCCGGACGCTGCCTTCAAAACTATGCAGATCTTTCAAGAATGCAGACAAAGTTTCCAGCTTAGTGCCTGAGGTCACCATCTGCCAAGTTTGACGGCTTTTGGTGAAAAGCTGATTAAAATATTGAAGGAATAAGCCCAGGTAAGCGAAAAAAATTCCATTCGAAATTTTGCCCGGCCGCTGCCTTTAACACGAACAGCAATCGTTCCTCTTGTCGCCACCTGCGCATTTACGCTCATTCAGATGCATCTAAGGGAAAAGTTCCTTCTTAACTTTTCTCCATCAATGTGAAGCTCATACGTTTTCCATCTTTTTCGAAAAAATGTTACAAATGCTCTCCAGTTAAGATTTTAACAAATTTTTTGGAACTGAGGGGAAAACAAAAATGATTTCATGGTCTGCTGTGCTCTAGAATCTAGAAAAAAACAGGGTACTGCTTTGCGTAGTGCGCAGAACTTCTCCTCGCTCGAAAACCCTCTTAGGCGTCTGTTTTTCAACAGAAAAATAAAAAAGGGAAATGAACTTTCCAAAATGAGGCCTTACGAACATATAAAGACACAAAACTAACGAAACTACTTAAATATGAAGTTGTACCCCCAGAGCGTCAAGTTTTACTTTCTCTCAAAGAATAGAACTGACTGAACGCTCGGTTTTTGAATGGAAAACCAGATTTTCGAGTATACATTCAAAACAGAATTTTGAATTTCCTTGAAATTTAGTCGGAAAAAAATCGACTTTCCAGTATAAAGCTCTACTCCACAAGTCAGAATTTACCTCCTCTCAAAAATGATTGATTAGTTCATCACTGAAAAAATCAGTTTTTTAGCACTTATATCCTAACGGCAAACTTGTAATACTTTGTTAAAATATGTACAAATATAAAGATGAGTTTTCACAGATAATGCTCTTCTCCGCAGAGCATCAAATTTACTTCCCTTTCACACCAAGTTTGCTCAATCGCTTAGTTGTAATGTGATGAGTAGTTAGTATGCCAGCACGAGGCTAGTAGATTTATTGTTAGTAGTGGCGGCCTAACGTTTCGACGTGTTCGTCTTCTTCAGAGGCCTAAAGTGGTAAGAGATTTAGATATTATGCCCTACCCCACCAAAAACCTCCTCCACCCCCTAGCCAGCCTCGACTTTACCCCCGAATGTCACAAACGAAAATACGCAAGTACGTGGAAGACGAACTAACCTCTTCCGCCGCTGCCGCTCAGATAGATGTTGAATGCGGCCGTCCTCTGCCACTAGTATGGAATACAGTGTATACTATACCATATTGACATTAATCAGTGGCATTCTTCAACTCACACAACTCCATAAAAGGCAAAAGTCATTGGTGATTGACGCGCACTCATTTCGGCTGTTCATGCATGGATTTCTTGCAAAAATCCAGAATGCCTCGAGAGCTTTTCTGCTAGCAGTATCGTATTCGTATGCCAGTATAGTACATCTAACTTCGAAGTCTTTACCACAATGGAATTCAACCCTGTGTTTGCCAAGCGGTGTGGTAAGACTTCCCCGCCTCTTGCTGGCAAGATGTTCTTTCATTCTTACCCAAAGTGGTCTCCCAGTCTTTCCGATATAAGTGGCGCTGCACTCGATACATTCAATCTCATAGATAACACCAGTCTTACCGCAGTCACCAACTTTACCGGATGGACAAACTACACAGTCTTGGATTCTGCAGTAGCTGTCGTATAGTCTGTTACAAACCAGCCGCTTCCTGATGTTGTCACTAGGAATATCGACTAAAATGACATTTTTCAAGTTCGCTCGGTCAATGCATCGTCGCACTGCAGCACTAGTCTCATCAGAAACGAAAGGAAGGCAAAGAGGTATTTTCTGTTGGTGCTGATTGCTATGAGTGGAAAGGATGGTCCACTGCGTCCTTTTTGATACGCGTAACCATTCATTCGGCAATCTCTAGCGCCCTTCTTTGAGATTCCTTCCGCTCTTCTTCTCCTGTGCATACGTTCGTTGCCGTTTTGAGCATGTTGCGAATAACAGCTCTTTCAACAGCGATCGGGTGTGCAGAACGAGCATTGATCAGAACGTTCTTGGAACTCTGTTTACCATACCATTTTACACTCGCAGCGTCGTTGAACAGTTTGATCTGTACGTTTAGATAGGGGAGCCAACCATTTCTCGGTTGCTGCCGCGTACTTTATGTGCTGTGACTGTTGATTAAGTAGTCGGAAACACTCATCCATTTCGAATTGTGTTGATGTTATGATGCAACAGTCATCGATGT